CGCTAAAATTTTTTTCTTCTTTCCACGAACCATATTTGGTTAGTTCGCGCGAAAGTTTGACAGCTAATATTTTTCAATAACTGACGCATCTTCTGAAAATGTATAATAATAAATTAGGGCATATTTTCAAGCTAGACACATAGTAAATTGAAAGAAATTGGAACCCAGTTTCTTCACTATAATTTGAGCAGAGCTATATGTTTAATAAATACTTTCAAAATGTCATCGAATAATGTAAAGTATATTAGTTTGTTTTTCAAAATAATCTTTCGCATGAATACTCTCGAGACTGTTTCTCAAAATTTCATTTTTCATCATTCTTTATTTTCAGCAGTAGAAAATAGTATTTCTGCTAAAGATCCCATGTCCTGAAAATCGCCGCGATTTTAGTGATTTTCAGAAAAATGAACGTTAAATCGCGATTAATCGGATCATGTTGAAAAATCATCGATGAAATCAGATTTAATCGCGATTTATGAAAGAAAACCGATTAATCATAATCACTAAAAATCAGGATGATTAATCGCGATTAATCAGAGTTTTTCAAAGTTTAGCATAAGAAGATTGACAAAATAAAAATATTAACAAATATTTGAATTATATACATCTTCAGCACATAAATGTTGATCTTTCTAAGTACAGTTGTTAAGCAACGCAAATAAACCAATTAATGTATTTTATCACGGCAATATGTACGTCATTGTCTAGAAATTTGAACAAAGCTCAATCAATGACACATTTGTTGTTCTTGAGCTAAAGTAGTATTTTAGTATTTTAATGCTGAATTCTAATTAAACCAGATATTTATTCTGAGGTCACACATATATATGCATCAATTCTTTCTATTGCATATAACTGAGTCGTTAACGAAGATATTTTGATTTTTGTTTGATTCAAATGTTGAGCTTATGATAATTATACTTCACTTCATTTGGAGAAGTATCTATTTTCTCTCGAATACATCGATAGATACCTATTTTATTGGGGTCATGTCCCGCTAAGCATCGCTTTACTTTTATCTAAGTTGTTACTGTAGCAATACTTTATTTGTTATTATAGTCTTTTCCTTTTAGTGTTAAGTTTGTTTTTCAATCCTTTTTATTCTTATTGCATTTGTTTAATTTTAAAAGGTTGTATCAACGTTATGAAGAAAAGCAAAAGAGACGACACAATGTTTGAAATTACATAAATTTACAAGTTTCTAACATCAAAGCGTAATTAAATTACAATTCGAAATAAAAAGTAAACATGATGTGGAATAATACTACTGTTATCGGTTACAATTCTTTTTTTCTTCTTCCGTTTATGAATCCGTAATTGGGCAACTTTTTGATGTTAAATTGATATCGCATATGTATATATATATATAAGCTATCGTAACTTTTTATTTCAGTTTCGTGATATTGAAAATTGTAAACTACGTTAATCCATAAAAAATTTCTTTACAATCAAAACACATTTGACTATAGTGCTGTACAGTTTGATTACTAAAATTTGTTCTTTTTTGCTTAAATATATTTTAAATGTTCAATTCTGTAATATCATATCAGAATCGAGTCAATCAGCAACAACGTCAACGTCGGAAAAAGCGAAAAGCTTCATTAGATGTCATTAACAATGTCGATTCTTGCATTTCGTCATCTGATGATGATGTAGTTATAAGTAACAACGTAGATGATCGAATGGAAAGTCATAAAGAAAATGCTCAAAAGTATGACACTCCTGAAATTATTCAACATGAACATGACGAATTATTATATTCCGATAATTTCAATTCAACTAATGATATATACATTTCAAGCGACGATGATACTGATTATAATGAAGATTTTGTTGATACATCTCATGATTCGAGTTCACCATTATATGAAAATTCTAATATTTCAGTTAAAACTGCTGCTTCAAGAATAATGTCTGTGGCTATTGAATTTAATCTTTCAAAAAATGTTATTGAACGTGTATTCAAAATTATCAAAACGCTCCTGCCAATTCCAAATCATTTACCTACAACACATTCATCTATACTTAAATTAATTGGTACAAAATCAATATCATCGTCTAAATTTTATTGTAATTCTTGTCTTAAATTATGCGTAGTAAAATCTGGACAGAAATTTTGTGACAATAAGAAATGCATGCTGTTCAATAAATATCTACGAAATCGAAACATTAGTGAGATTGTCACTTTGGATATCAAACAACAGTTAAAGTCAATTATATCTAGAAATATTTATTTATTTGGTAACAAAAACTTATTGGAGCCTTTCGACATTAGTAATGGTCAATATTATAAAACGTCTATGGTATTATCAAATAAATCAGATCAAGTGGCGACAAATCACATTCATTCAATTAGTTTGAATATACATACTGACGGTGCACCGCTGGTTCGTACAACAAAATCTTCTTTATGACCATGTTTAGGATCGATAGTAGAACTACCTCCACAAGTTAGAGAACAACAAAAAAATATAGTTATTCTATGTTTATGGAATTCTTCAATGAAACCAAATGTTGATTTATTTATGCATGATTGCATTCAACATTTATTGGATTTGTCAAAACCATTTACATTGTTTGTTAACAAATTACAGTTTTCGATTAGTGTTAGAACTCAATTGTTTTTAGCTGACTTACCAGCCAAAGCTCTGTTTTGGAAAACTATAAATTATAACGGATATAATGCGTGTGCTCATTGCTTAAGTGAAGGTAAGTTATTAAGTCTTCTCTCTCAAAATTTTATCTTTTTCTAAATATTCTTTCAATATTCCTTGCTTTTGTAGGCATATATAAAAATCGGCAATTATTATACCCATATAGTAAAAATAGTTATCGACAACGAACGCATACTGAATTTTTAGCAACTGCACAAGCAATTGATTATCGTATATGCAGTGGGAAAAAAGGTGGTAGCATTGATGGTATTAAAGGTAAGTCTCCTTTGTTGAAAATATTTGAATACCCCAAACAAGTAATAATTGATTATATGCACTTATGTTGTTTGGGGCACATGTCGTCACTGATTGAACGTTGGTTACCTATGTTGGATAATCTTGCACTTGATGATATAAATTCAAAATTATATTCTCAACGATTTTCTCACAACATGCATGTTAAATTTAATTATTCTTTAAACTTATACAGCGATTGGAAAGCAAAGCATTTTCGAACGTTCATTTTATTCATTGGTCTTCCTTATGTTATAACTCGTCTACCATCACTTGTTGCATCACATTTTTCTTTATATTCAATGTTCATTAAATTACTACATTGTCCGACATCAATGGACGAAATTATATTAGCAGATAAAATTATACATTACTACTGTCAAACAGCACCTCAAATATATGGCGAAACTATAGAATTATTTTCACTTCATGCTCATCTGCATTTACCACAACAAGTTTTAACACATGGTGCTTTGTGTTTCACATCGGCCTTTTGCTTTGAAAGTGTAATACGCCATATTAAGAAAAAAGCTCACGGAACAAGAGAGCTTGCTACGCAAATAGCTGATTGGATACATGTTGGTACAATTACTAATCCATCACCTGTCCAGCTTCCGATACCAATGGGTATTAACGATATCGATATTAATGATTCCAGTTTCGATACATACCGACATAATTTCGTAAGTGCTTTGCACGAATTCATTCAGGATGACAATGGTATCATTTTGTATTTACGATTTAAAAATACATTTGTCACTTATCATTCAATTTTATACGACTTACGATTTAATTGTTCAAGTTACATAGTTTCATATAAAGATGCAGATTGTTCAATTCAATATGGTGGCATTGTTATCTTTTTCAAATACAAGGAAAATTATTATGGTTATGTTCAGAAATATGCATCTACAGAAAAGAATATAAATGATTACGTTTCAGTTCCTATAGAATTAAAAGAAAAGTTGAATGAAATTTTTCCAATAAGACGTAAAACTCAATCATACGCTATTGTACCTGTTAATAGTATTCACCACAAATGCATTCAAGTTGAACATCAAGATCACATGTTCCTTTCTGAAATACGTTTAGATTATGAACATGATTAAACTGACTGTTTATTTTTATGCTTTAGTCGCGAGTTTACATAAAATTAATAATTTAAATTTCTTACTATGTCATTTGCGTATTTCAGATGACTCTAAATGCATATGCGAAACTTTACAAAACCGAAACACGAGGGAAAAAAAATGATGAATTTGCTTTTATCAGCTATATGGACGAACCAAACAGCTTCAGTATTGTATCAGTTAAAAGGTTAATCAATGTTGACAATTTCGGCAAAGGTTCTATACGAGAACAGCATAAAACTTATCGTATTACTGTCGAGAGAACTGGTAAGTATAAATCGTATAATTTTTCTCTTCAACTATTTTTTTATTCAAGGTACTCTTGCTGAAATGGAACAACTTGCTAAAGAGGCAGAACAAATATCCACTTACGCAATGAATCCGGATGTAGTATCCGATACTGAAGAATGGCATAAACGAAAAAAGTCATTGTCAAGCAAAAATCATGATCAAATAAGTAAGCTGCTTTCACATGATCTCTTACTTTCGTAGGTTGACTATTAACTTTGGACCTTCTCATCCCAGGGCTCAGAATCGAGAATAATTAACTATTGCCTTGTTTGATAATTGCTGGTCGATCAAACGGCTAACCATTTGAAATATATTAAAAATATAGTATTGTAGATTAAGATGCCAATGAGGTATAGAACACAAGAAAAAAATAAATAGTGAAATTTTCTATTGTCGATCGAGTTAATTCTATATTTTTATTGAGTGAAATTCATTACAGTACTAACATGAAAAGTCTGTTTTCGATGTTTCAAGAAACTAGCTTCTTATTACTCAATCACACATCTTATGTAAAGTTATAATCATAAATGCAAAAGAATAAAACTTTTTAATGATGTAGATGCGATCGTCATATACAATACACAGAATTATTCTTTATCATTATTTATTCATATGTTTATATAATATCTTTTTAGATGTACTAAATAAAGAATTAAGTGAATTACACGATTTTGGTAAATTATTCAGATTATTTGGATAACTACAAATTTTGACTTTTCTAGATATTGATGGACAACGAACGTATACAACATTGACTTCATGTTCATTCGATGACTTCGATAAATCGGGTAAGATTGCTTGTAAAAAAAATAAACAACACGAGTTTTAACAACTGTTATCATCTTTTTAAGTAGATTGTCCTCGAATATCATCTAATAAAAATGCTGATTATGAATTAAGTTCTGAAGAAAATGATGACGATGAACATGAAGAAGAAACGGATAAAGTTGCAAATTACAATGCTTTGAATTCTAATTTTAGTCATTCGGTCGCATTGAAATCAAAAAAGCGTGCATCATCAAGAATGTCTCGAGAACTGTCTCGAAAACGACTCCGAACTAATGATGCTTCGTCAACATCCATAAATCAGGAGAAGACAGATGTAAATCAATTGTCATTTTCGATTCTGAAAGAATTGAACCAAAATTTGAATCAGTTTCGTAAGCAAATAGCTGCTATTGCTCATTCTTACGATCAACACCAAAAAACACTTAATTTGATCTTAAACAATCAGAAAAAAATAGCAAAAGCTCTGCGCCATCATCAGGTAAAGAAAACCGAACATTTTTAAATAGTTAGCTTGTTCTTCTAGATTCCAATTCAGTTGTTTGACGAGATGGGAACTGAAGCATCAACATCTACTAATTCTGGCAACGTTGTAAGTAGAAATATAATGATTTGAGTTTTTATCTTTTCTTTATAGGTTTACGAATCAAGTAATGGTGAACAAATTGATCTTATTCAAATTCCTGCTGACCGATCAAATCCAAATAAATTCGTATTGAAGGCAGTGGATCGAATATTCACAGAACCACAACAACTGCTAGATCTTGATCCACGTTCGATTGATGCCGATAAACGGATTATAACTATTCGAGGTAAGTTATCTCAAACCTATTGCAAAAGAGTTTTATTTATTATTTTAGATGCTGTTCAAGTCAAGTTTGGTTTAACATCTGAGGAGTTAGCAACAGTTTGGCTACCGATGTTGGAATGCATTAAATCCAAGCGAAGAAATTTAAAAGCTAAACTGCAAAAAGCTACGAACATATAAGATAACTTTTCTTATTAGATTTATAAACTTTGTCTCTTGCCTTTTCTTTTATAGCTAACAATAGTCTTCGTAAGGATCTTGAAAAACAATCAAGAAGATCAGATGAATCCAATCATAATAGTCCACATTCCTACGAAGAGCTCAGAAGATTATTGAAATACAAATAGAACATTATCGTTTGATATTCGTATAAATAAATGTATGTTTATTATAATTTAATCTTGAATATGTAATTTTGTTTTTTTTTTCTATTATAATATTTTATGTGATAAAGATCATACATTGTAATGTTGTTTGAAGCATTGAATTAATTAGTTAATATTTTACGTCACAACGTTTCTCTTTTTCTACCTGATTAATTTTCAATAACTTTTCTTTGTCGCTTTTCTTATATGATCTTGTATTCTATGTACATTCTAACTTCTTTTTTGTTTTCCTTCTCAAAGTTCATCAGTATCAATTACGTATATTGAATATGTAATTATCTATAGTTTTTTTTCTTCGTTTCATTCATTAAACTTACTATGAGATGTGTTGAAAAATTATATATTATTGAAAATAAAATTTACTGAAAAGATACATTGAATGTATCAGCAATAAAATATCTTGGGAAGTCAATAATGTAATATCAATCCATTGATAAAGCTACCAGTGATATATAAAATTATCGGAAAAAAAATCACGATTTATCGTCAAAATCACAAAAAAAATCGTTGAAAATCATCGATTAATCGCGTTTCAGCTCACAATTATCGTTTCGATATATCGCGATTAATCGATAATTTTTTGGCGATTTTGAGGACATGGGTTTATTGTTGCCATTGTGTATCATTATCAAGTTGTGCTTTTTATTTCTATTATTATCATATAGCATAAAGGATTGGACCTTTGAACTATTTAATCTGTAACATAATTCATATAAATAATCATTTCCATTAGATATATAAGAAGTTCATGTTGCTTTTTCGTCTAAACTTTAAACATAAAAATCATACTTCTCTATCC